CCCAAGAGCAAACATATAGGCAGAGATAGAATACTTTTGAGACAAATCGCCATATAAGTATTAAACAATATTCTATGTGCATAAAATTCTAAATGAATCGGCGATCATTAAGCTTCGATCTCTAGATCTATAAAAATTAATAAAAATTACATAATTACAAATAAATACTAATTTATATTAGCATAAATAGTTATAAAATTTTTATTTATTTAACTAAGCAATGCAATTTCACAGAAATAAATTTACTTTGATTATTACTGCAAAAATATATAACTTATAGATACATAACATATTGTATAATGGATTCAAATTTTATGATGGATAAAAATTTAATTCAATAATAAAAGTCTTTCAACAATACAAATTCTACGAAGAAATTTAAATTATATTAGATCTTCTCTAATTTAGAATTCCTTTTCTTTATTTGTACATAAATAATTTTTGAAGATAGATTTGCATAAAATTTTGTTTAAAACAATATAAAACTAATGTATATTCAATATGTATTATACAAACTAAAAAATTTAATAAGTTATTATAGACAAATACGAAACTGCCATTAAATTAATGCTATGTGTGACATGTCATATTATATTAGATAGAATATGAAAAATGGCGATACTTATACGTTTAGCTAATATAATAATTTTCTCTTTTTATGAAATATCGCCTTCTTAATATTTCTGTGACTTTTATTATCAATCAATTTACATTACAGTCCATAATACATGCTTGCGGTTCTCTGCACTACGAATATAATGACGAATAATGAGAGACTTTTTCCACTTGCGTCTCAGCCCACACTCTTCTGTTTCTGATAGTTGTTCAATATAACTATTTATTTCATCTACTTTGGTGCCAATATATCTGTGATTTTTTGTTAAAAAAATATTTTAAAAAGTTGTTTTTAAATAATATTTTTTTGAACAATAGAGTAAAAAAATAAGATATTTCTTGAATTCTTTTTTTTTACTTACAATTAAAATTTTATAAATTTATATAAATAATAATCACAAACTTATAAATTTACGTAATCAATCAAAAATTTTTTAATATTATTATTAAGAAATTATTTTAATAAATTACCAAATAATTGGTGACATATATATAACATCATTATAAAACAATTTAATTAATTTCAAGATATACACATTTAATATAATACATTTAACTTTTAAATCTAGCTATAATTAAAATCTACAAAAATTATATTGAATTTTTAATAATAATGTTTATTCAGGAGCTATTCGTTTTGGGGATTATCTCCACATCCGGGGCGAGAAATAATTTTCTAATACCTGATAAATGAAGGCAAGGTTCATGAAACTAGCATACTCGTATAATGGATCTAGATACGGAAAGAAACCCAGTGAAACGAGTAGCTCCTATATTGAATGTACTATGGAAGTCTCAAAAGTATTAATAATGTTTATTAATAATAGCTTCAAACAAATAATAGTTTACAAACCTTAGAAAACACGCAATTATTATATCTGCGATAGTATTGATGTGAAAAGGATATGCCACAATAAGAGCAATAATCACGGCTTTTATATTGTTGTGCCTTTCTATATTCCAAATAAAATCGACAGCAAATAATATGAGAATCATTGTAAAATATATGATTAATATTAATTTTATCAATTTTTTAATTGTATGATATTTCTTAGGTATCCCAAGTTTTTCCAATGTATCATCCACAAGAGAAAGTTTTTTTATACACATATGGATTTTCTGAAGATATTATTGACAAAATAATATATAAATCGTATCATTCGTATAAGAATATATAAAAAATACATATATACAAAATAATATATTTAACAATAAAGCATTAATTTTAATAAAAATAAATCTCATTAAATAAGAGAATTTCTCATATATTTAGTCAAAATAGTAAAATCTTATAGTATATCTACATAATATCTTATAGAAAAAAATCATAAAATATCTAATTTAAATATCCACTCCACTCGAATACGCGCGTCAAACCGACTCACACAAAAATAACAATTGCATCGATCAGACGATAAAGGGTGTAACTAAAATAAGATAACAAATTTCTGAACCAAGCTCCCCACAACAAATAATATGAAAAAAATTCATATAAACATACGTTCGCAAATACACTGTTACTAAGACATAACTCAAAATGTTTAAGTATATTATGTATAATCCCCGAATCTAAGATCCTCTCTCGATTTTTATCTATCACTTAAAGTCCTTAGTTTATAAAGCTTCAATCAAATAAAGATATCCTACGCTAACGCATCTTTGATGCTTATATTATCATTCACAATTGTCCCGGGATCTTTGAAAAAGTGCAATAGTCCATAATCCGACGTGTCCAAATGTGTATTAAATTAAATGGAAGACACTTCAAACATTGTTATAATTAAAAATTGAAAATAGATTGTATTAAACAATAAATATTATTTTTTTATTTTTCTCGATTAATAAACATTTAGAGTAACAATAAGTTTGCGGATATATGTTCATATAAAATTTTTTTTCATGTTTGATGTGATGAGTTTGGTTTCAAAGTTTGTTACCTTATATTAGCCACACTCTGTATATCTGTGAAGAGGTATTTTAGCATCTCTTCTATCTTGCAAAATTGTCGAATATAATCTTAAAAAAATCAAGTTTCCCATCAATGCATTTATTCAAGGAATTCGAATATTATAGATACTGTGTGCCTAAATGCTGAACAACGTTAAAATTCTAGATGCTATATATAAAGATTAATTAGATTTATTCTCATTGATCTAAAATCTTATTATATCAATTAATAAGAATTTTGTTAAGACTTTTTATACTATCTGATAGATCGAATACAAAATTTCTTAATTAACATTTTGTAAAACTTCTTCAAAAATTAATATTTTTAAATAAAATTTTTTAAAAACATAAGTGAATGTAAAATTAGATTTGTGTTTAGTTAAATTTTTAATTAAATTTGTCTTTTTTAAATAAATAAAAATAAAATTAATTCTAAAATGATAAGTAATATTATTGTGCATTATCTTTGTATTAGATTAAAAATAAAACAATTTAATATTTATGAATAAAAAAATATACCTGGTGTTTGCAACTGGTGATAGTTACAGATATTATCGTCACAAGAATATTTGTACTTATCGATATAAAAATTAAAGAATTATTAAATATACTCCTTGGCGAAAATTTCTGTATCATAACATGAAATGCAAAGGCATAGAAACTCCACACCATTATTATGTAAAAGATACTTAAGCGAAATCTCCAATAACTGAGGGGATATCTAAAATTTCCTAAACCAAGAATAAAAGCAACTAAGACCAAAGGTCGAAAAGCGTTTTGTATAGTGTCAACCATGATCGTAACTGTTGCAGTTTCAAATACTAACTATTAGATGCCAAGTTCAAAGCCGCGCAATGTACAAAAGGCATATTCATTATGATTAATTATGATGAGATAACATTTGATTAGATCAACTCATTATAATGTTATTAAATTATTAAACGATAGCATGCATGTTATGTGCACGCTGTCATTTAATGATTTAACGATATTGTAATGAGTTGATCTAATCAAATATTATCTCATATCGTGATAAATGTGCCTTTTACGTGATTAAAATTTTATTTAAAAAATTACATACTTTTTTAATCACAAATTTTTTATTGGGTTTTAATTTTCTTTCATAGCTTTTTCTAATATCTTGATAATAAAAATATTGTAACAAAACGATAAAATTCATTTATAGAATTTAATAAATATTCTTTTTATAATTTCGGAATGTTACCTTATTATTAGATAAAATATATATCCATATTTAATGCAACATACATATGCCTAAAGCCAGAGACACACAATACATTTTTTGATCAAAATGATCTGAATTGCTTGCGTTTTAGTAAACTATTAGAATTATACCAGAACGCAGAATTTTTAATAATTTTCTAAAACGCAAGCAATCCAATAAGAAACACTGCACTGTGTGTCGTAGGCTTAATGATCATGTATTGTACAATATCGATTATACATATGTATAGGGATATACTGGATAATAAATTTATCAAATAACCGGATAATGCGGCATTTATTACTACCGAATAATCAGATAACCAGATTTTATCTGGTAATTTATAACGATATTATTATCTTTAGAAGCTATAGAGCAAAGATTTACGACGTAAATAACAAATAGATTTCTTCATGGAAGTACTTGTCGATTTTTCCAATATGTATGTATACATACGCCCGTTATCAATTTTCAAACCAGGAGACAAATAAATGAATCCATATTTTTTCTGTCTTAATTTTTGCCTCCTAGAAGTTTCGTTTATGCTTCTGTTACTCTACTATCTAAATTCTTTCAAGTGGAAAAATGAGTGAAAAAGTAAAAATTGAATCAGTTTGAAAAAGAGACTAAAAAAAATAGCTCAATTTTCAATTGAGAGTGAGATTTCACTTTAGAGTAACAATTCTAAAAGTTTTAGAGAGGACTCTTACATTCGTCTGCTTCAATTTCTATTTTCGCTAGGGTATCTACAAAATACAATATGCAAAATATAATACATAAATAAAATTTTTTCTTTATTTATTATATTTCCTCTACGTACGGCATTGTCTTGTTAATAAAAAAAATTTGTCTTTACTTTTGCTTTAAAAAAAACTTGTAATTGTGAAAAATCTATCGATATTTACATTATCGATATATTCCGATATATAACCTTGTGGTGGGTAGAAGTACTATGTTTCAGTATTCAATGCTATATATATTTCCAGCTTCAGTTTTTAAGTATAACTATAATTTGCAGAGATCTCTATTTATCCCAAATTTAATTTTAAGATAAACATTGCAAATTTGCAACCTTTGCCCATAAAAAGTTCAAGAAATTCTAAAGTGACAGAATTATCGATACTACAGGTTAGAAAATTTTCCAAATAGACTTATAGATTGCAAAATCTTTTTACACAATTGAAATATTCATTAAAAAAGTGCTAAGTTGATTTAACAAAAATCGATCTCGTACTTTTTTGTAAAATCAACATTTGAAATGTGAATCAATTTCGAGATTCAAAAAAGCCGCTTATGCCATACATTATAGTGATACTGTTGGAATTTATACTGGAACAATCGCATTTTTTTCTTTACAATGCGGACTGTGCCTTCATACGCTTTCTCTAATTACAGCACAACAGACATTTATCATCTCTCGAAGAAAATTTTTGGGAAAGCTCAGTTAAAAACTGATTAGAAATTTGCCAAAAATTGATTTATAACTGTCTAGAGTCTAATATATTTATCTATTAATATTTACTGAAAATTTACCAAATTAACTGTATTATAGTTTAAAGTGATAAAATTTTTCTCAAAATAAAATTACAGAATTATATAAACTAAATATAAATTTTAAAAATTGCTAAAAAAAACTTACAAAAAAAGAGAGAGATTACGCTTTCCGAGATGGTCAAAAATATATAACATGCGTTTTGACGCAAAGATTCGAACATTATATATAAATAAGGATTCTGTTCCTCTACAACTAATTTGTCTATAGTCAGGAAAGAAATAACAATAACGAAAATTGAAAAACTCATAATCCACTACTGACAAATCAAATTAAAATGAATATGATCTAATAGAACTGTGTCGCTCTAAAAATTTAATACTTTGCTTCGCCTCTTTAAATATATCACTTATTCAGAGATTAAGCATTTGTTTAGATAATTTTTTTATCTAAAATTTGGCCTAATTGATCCGAAATCACGACTATATTTGATTTCTTCTAATATTATTTCTGAGCACATTAATTTTATTCCTTAATAAAGTCGCTGAGTGATCTCAATAATCCAATATATATTAAGTCACAATTTAAACAATTTATCATATAAACTACATTAGACTATTTTTTTTCTTAAAACATTAATAGAAAGGGGTGATCAGTTTTCTATAAATATGTATAAATTAAATATATTTATATTTATAAAAATTTAATTACACGTGATCTCTGTTAATCTAAACTAAACAAATTTTATTTCCCAGTTGAAGATAAAATCGATGATACAATCTCTTTTATGTTTAAAAGTTAATAAAGAAGTAAAAGTCCCTGAAATACAAAATTAAAAACTACTCTATCAAATTCTTGTTAAATGTATTCTTTTCATTTAATTCTAGAATATATTTTGCATAAATTGCATATATTCGAACAAAAAAATTTTTTAATTCTGGTACATTTTATTAAGCTAAAAAGGGCAAGGAGCAGAAAATAAAGATATATCATTCTCTCCCTCATTATTAGATATCGAGTCGCCAGTCAATTTCAATAGAATTGTTTTTGTGTGTTTCGGACATTGTCGATCATATTTGCCATTGCTTTTAAAAAAGCGCGAGAATGGAAGAATGTCCTTCGATAAATCCCATTCATAAGGAAAGACTTATTGCGATGGAGAAACTTTACAAACGGATGAGACGATTTCTTACAGAATTAGACTGGCTAAAAGAAGAAGTAAAAAGTCATTTTTAATTTATGTTTTAGCAAAAAAATTTTTTTATAACCTTAATTTAATTTTTTAAATATATTTTTTATGTTCAAAATCTAACATTTTAATAATTAACTTTCTGTTACAATAAAATTTACTTACAGGATACATTTAATAAAAGCTCTTTTTGAATATTTCCATATGTTAGCTTGGATGAAGATAGAAGTATAGATGTAATAAATGTTACATGATATCCAATTGTTAAAGCAATTAATATTATATAGTAACATATCCCAGAATATATAATATTTATGACTTATTTTAAATATTTTATAAATGTTTTTGTGGTTTAGTTTGCACCATCATAAATATTTATTATAAATGTTACGAAATATTTAATAAGAATTATAATCTAAGTAAAAAATACTAGGAATATTTATTTATATTTATAAATAATACATGAAATATTTATTCTACATTTTAATAATATTTCGAATAAAGCTTTATATAAAATATTTTTATGAAATTTCAAAAAATAAGTAGTAATAAACATTTCAAAAAAGGCATTTCAGGAATGGATCTGGACACGGAGAAAACGCATAACTTTTATATAGTAATAAACATTTATTGTAATATTCTGGGATATCAATCGCTTTAATATTGGTTATCGTATAATATTAATTGTATGTTTAATCATTCTTTGAATCATAAATCTATACTTTAAATAAATCTATACTATAATTAAAAATTGTAAATTTTTTAAACATGTTAAAATGAAACAAATAATATATATTTATAAAATAAATATTGTGTTAATAGTAAAAGCAATTGTGTTAGTAACAACAGGTGGCACAGGGAAATTAGTGTTTATATAATTGTTTCCACAATGATCTACTTATTTAATCAAATGTACATAAACGTATATTTATTACATAATATATATTTCAAATTTTTCAAATTTGTTTTACTTTTTAAGTCAATTTTCTTCATAAAATATTATAACTGGAATTTATATGGATATGAAAAAATATTGTTTCCTGCGAGTTTCAAATAAATGAGTAAGCTTGTAATTTAAATAATTGAGTATTGTGTCTTACTTAATTGTGCAGATAAAAAAACAAAAAAAATGGCAATTGCTCCAAAAACAAAGAAAGATTACAATTCTGTCAAGGCCGAGGAAAAAATATAAGAAACGTGAGAAGAAGAATTCTAAAAAGAAGATAAAACACGAATCTTTGATAGAGGAGATAAAGAAAAAACGCGAGGAGCAACTTCGTAAAAGCAAACAGTTACAGAAGGATATCAACGATTATATCGATGGAGTTAAAACGCCCGAAAGTTTACGCCGAGTCGTAGATAGCTGCTCTACCAAGAAACTTTGCCCATCTTTTGAATTAACAGGTGTTTGCCGGTTAGTGTAGATAGAGATATTTACGATTTGTCATTATCACGATTTGTAAATCATTTATAACAATATTAAAAATCTTAATATATTAGTGATTTAACTAACTCTTTTTATCATATGTTTTGCAAGTTTCCAAAAAAATTTTCCACTTGAAAATTAAAAAATTGTGTTAAGAGTTATTTGCATTAAATGAAACTGTACTAAATCAAAATAAATTAAAATTTAAAAAAACATCTTACTTCACTACTAAAATCAACTTTAAATTAAATTTTTATTTTAATTTCCAAAATGTATTTATTCGTAATTTCAGGCATAAAAACAAGTGCTCTAAAAACCATCGTGAAATCTTTCTGAGCAATGTGATCTTGATAACAGGATTGTATTTCAACTTTTCGGTCGAGAAAAATCCGATGGAAAGCAACACTAATGTGGCACTCGAATTCAAGAATTCAGGAACGTGGCATTACTTTTGCAAATTCTATGATAACATAATAACTAAACTCAAGTTATTCGGCGAGATTAAGACTCTTAAGTGTTACTGGAGGAATAAGAAACATTGGCGCGCAAATTTGTACGTTCAGTATGATACAAAAAGAGCGGCGGCTAAAGCTTGGAAAAATCTAAAGGGACGTTGCTACAATGGCAAGCCGCTCGTTTGTAAGTTCATCAATGTGAAATCCTTGAGATCTGTTGTCTGCAGTCTAACCAATTGTCCGAAGAGCAATGAAAAATGCAATTACCTTCACATCTCTAAAATTCCGCACAATAAGTACATCCAAAATTTTTAACAGGAAAAAAGCAATTTGATTGCCGACAAGCTAAACAAACTAGGTTTATGTACTTACTTTATTTACGCTTATACATATAAAAAGCTATATATAAGAATATCTTATATACAGAATAATTTTGACAAAAATAAAAATCGGATTGTAAGTTCAATCCATAAAGAGACAGTGACAAAAACGTAAATTCCATTTTATTTAATGTAAATTAGTAAAATTTGCTTCTTAAAATGCTTTTTTTATATTTCCTTCTTTGCATTTATGCTCTCCAAAAATTTTATTTATGTTTTTGTTAATCTCCTTTATATTTGACTTACGCTCTTTTTTTTATTTTCATCAGAAAATAATATTGCGAAAAAATAAGAATTATGTAGTGTAATAAAGCAAAAAATAAATTAAAAATAAATTGATAAAAGCTTCTTTATCATTATTTAACATTTTTTATTTGTTTGTTAAAAGTAAATCAAAACAGAAAGAATCCGATCAAGACGATAATAAAACAAAATCGCAAATGGAGGTGATCATCCAAATCATTTATGATTGAATTGGATTGCAAGACAAGTTTGAAGACAAAATATTCTCATTCTACGAAAAAGAAACAATCGCAATAATTCCCCGCACAATATAACAAATGACATAAAAAATCACAAGTATAGAAAGTTTTAATTAAAATGTCATAAATGGAATGTTATTAATTGAATCGTAAGAGACCCCGTAACAATTCAAACATCAAAATTAAAAAAATAAATCTAAGGAGAGCCCTTTTACAAAAATTTCAAAACAAAGATAAGAAGCAGTCATAAAAGTTATTAGAAGAAAGCATTCGCGCGCGCGAGAATCAGAAACATCAGAAGAGATACATGTAGATCCGACAGGCAAAAATATAAATACATACCCGAAAAAACATTCAAAGCTTATGCATTCTGTAATGACGAGTCAAGTGTTTGTAATCCCAAAGGTGATTCTACCCGACCGATTCAGTTTTGTCTACAAGAATGTCCAATATAGATGAAATAATGTAGATTAGATATTTTTATTTAAAATACACGTAAATAATGCATTTAATCATTCCTATTATCGCGCGATAAAGACACATCCGTGTTGGCAATCACATGTTTAAATCTTAAAACAATATAACCATTCCATAATCATCAGATGAGATTATTTTTCTTCGCAGTTATTTAATCAAAGAATTGTTTCGCACTTCCTCTAATTGTAAAAATATTGCAATAAATGACCGTATTATCAATGTTGATGAAAAATATACGTAAAAAGAAACGGCAGATATTTTAATTAATCGCATTTCAATATGTATCTGACCTGCTTTAAAGGGATCATTGAAATATTCTTTGTTGTATAATTGCAAAGAGAAAATACTAAGTATTGCTTGATCTTTGATGTTCGAAAGAATTCATTTTTGGAGATGTAGAGAAGTCATTAACAAAAAATGCAAGCAAATATAATTAGTGATTGAATTATTCGACCCTTTGATCATTTTAATAATTGCAATAAACGCACTTGATCAATAATATTTTTAATTGTCTCCCAACCACCTTATTTAAAACACATATTTGTAATTACTTAATGCTTATCGACTGTTTTACAAAAAAAAATTCCATATTTTGAAAAAAAATAATCCTGATTATGATTAGGAAATAAAACATAATTAATTTTTAAAAAAGTATATTATATATATATATATATCTACTCAAATTGATTAAAATTTAGCCAGTAATCAGAATTCTTGGTCACTTTCACTTTCTGTCTAATTTCTAATTTAGTTTTTATGTGGATTGTTCATTTAAGTTAATTTAATTAAATAATTAATTTTAATTTATTAATTTTAATAATTCTATTGATGCAGATTTATAGCTCTCTCTTTTGCATTTATACTTGCAGTGAAATAATCAAGTAATACAACGTTAAGTTAGAAAAAATATAATGTTAGAAAAAATTACAATTAATGTGTATTCGATTACATATAATATTAAATATCAAATATTTAATAACAACATACAGTGTATGTAAATATATAGTATCTTTATCTTTAATAAAATTAATTAATTAAAAAGGATAAGTCTCATAAATGCAGAATGACTACAAAATTCATACAAAATTTAGTTGCATTAGATGCCGATGTTAAAAGTTGTGTTCACAAAATCTTTGTCGAATACTTATGCTTTTTATTTAATTTCAGAATAGTTTCTGCTTAAATTCAATTTTTATTTTACTATGTATGTTACGTAAGTTATGTATTTAGCTAAAATGATACCTTTTATCGTACGATAAAGATATACACAAATATCTATGTCTCGAGCAATCGCACTAGTCAATAGACATTCTTCAATTATCAGATCATTTTTGCTGTTTCTTATTATCGGAATATTGTTTCCCATTTCCTCTAAGAGTAGCTAATGCAATAAAGTGTCAGCGTTATCAATCATTAATGAAAGATATCATATCGATTTGTACTGCTAGCCATAACTAAAAGAAATGGCAAGTAATAATCAGTCGCATTTCAACATTAATCTAGTGTACTTTAAAGTATACGAAACTTTCTCTGCTAAACAATTGCATACGAAAAACAGATTATGATCGCATTGAAAGTATTGTTCGTTTTGTGCTCAGTCCATCCCCTCGTCAACGGGGTAGGTTTTCGGGGATTTACTTTTAAAGGTTTGGAGGAGCCAGAATCATTAACAAAAGATGCAGGCAAGAATATAGTTGAGGGTTGGATCACTCAGCCACTCGATCATTTCAATCATCGCGACAATCGCACTTGGTCGATGGTAATTATCGTTACTCAAAAGCTTTTACTTAAAACATTTATTTTTTTTTATTAACACTAATCGATTGCTGTATAGCGTTACAAAGAAAACTCCGCATTTCTGAAGAAAAATGGCCCTATCCTGATCATGATCGGCGGAGAATGGGAGATAACAAATGGATTTTTGCAAGGTGGACTGATGTACGAACTCGGCGTAAAATACCACGGTTTGATGTATTACACCGAACATCGGTTCTATGGACAGAGCAGACCAACGAAGTATGTAATCCGTAGCGCTTTCCCCATAGCATAAAAGGTCACGGTAACATCACAGTAAAGTCATGGTGACGTGCGAATGTCCACTTTGTCACAAGTGTGACGGTGTGACATCATAGCAGAGTCATAGTGACGTGCAAATTTCTGCTTTGTCACATGTGTGATATCGCTATCATTATGAAACTGTGATAAAAATTGCACTTTATTGTGACACTCCCATACTGTAATATTCACAGATTAAGATAATAATGTATCACTGTGATTTTTTGATAATCTCATATTATCACAATTTATCCGTGATTGTAGCAGGAAATGGAGTTACTTTTCCGTTACTTTTACAGTTACTTTTTATAATAATAATTTAATAGTGACGTTGCAATTTTTATGACTGTAATGATGAATAACTAAACACTGAGGTTACGCTAAGATTAGGAAAGTCACTATTACGCGTTACTTATTGAAAAAAAGTAATAAATAACGTTACATTAAAAAGTGACGATTTATAAATTGCAAGTTATTTTTTTCAGTAATGAATGGTCTTTCTAATCCGTTATAAGTGATATTGACTATATTAAACTAAGAATCTCATATAGGACTATAAATGTGAGTAAACAATCAATAAGAGGTAAATGTCTTTTAACGATTTAGCTGATGGATCTTAAGTGCTTGTATAATTCTATGTAAATTTATATACTACGTACATATGTAATCTCCTTTAAATTGTGAGCTAAAATGATTTTTTGTGGTCTTGAAACGCAAACTCCACTGAACAACTATCGCAGTAATATCACAAGTTAAATTGACTATAGCAATTCGAAGCTCATAAGCTTAAAACGATCTTAATAATGCTGAATAATATATTAAAATCTGTAAACAATTTTATGCGAAAAATATAACTATTCCAACTCTGGTGTTACATTGTCATCACAAAAAATTCGTAACGTCATTATCAAATTGTTGTTACAAGATAACTAAGTAATTAAAGGCAATTACAATAACTAGTTACTTCCATTCTCTCAATTATAATAAGTTGATTAATATAAAGTTGGTAATATAAATGTGACTTTTTTGCTATGAGAGCTCTTTATCGTTTGATATTTAAAATCAATCTTTTAAATTGATATTGCACGATACAAACATTTAGAAACATTAGCACGGAGAATTTACAATACTTAAACGCCGACCAGGCACTCGCCGATCTTGCTTATTTTATTGAAACGAAGAAAAAGGAAAAGCACTTAGAAAAGAGTACCGTAATAGTAGTTGGTGGCTCTTATGCTGGAAATATGGCGGCGTGGGCACGCCTCAAATATCCTCATCTCATCCAAGTATTGTTTATATTATTTTCTTATTTATATATTTATATCTTAAAGATTGAGAAGAATTGGTAAATTAGAGAAAAATATTTTTCACAGGGAGCCTTAGCCAGCAGTGCTCCGGTTCAGGCAAAGGCTGATTTTTATGGTAAATTATTTGATCGACTGATAATTCCTAAAAATATTACTAAAATTGCTTGATTTCATAGAATATTTCGAGGTCGTGACAGATGCGCTCGGCAAATACAATAAAAAGTGCGTTGAATCTGTTAAAACTGCATTCGCATCGATAGAGGAATTATTAGCCATGCGAGCCGGTCCACGTAAACTTAAACTTCTCTTCAAGTAAGCTTAAACATAATTTGGAATCCATGTGCTATTTGTTAATACCTAATTTGCGCTCGGACAATAAAGTGAAGAGGAAAAATAATTTATAATAATAAAAAATTATTATATATACAAAAATAATTTTGTATTATTATTAATTTTTTTATTATTAATATCGAATTTAGATTATGTCACGTGCCTGACGTAAAATCTCCTAGTGATCTTGGTTACTTCATGAATACGTTGTCAGAGGTACGTGAATAATTGAAGCTATTGCTCTATCTGTTTCTATTCATTTTTTAACTTTAGATATTTGCCGGAGTCGTTCAGTATAATAAAATCGAGAACAGTGAAACAGGAATCGCGGCATTGTGTGATAAAATGACAGCTAAGCATTTAGGCAGCCCCCTACAGAGACTTGCGCGCATCTTTTCGAATCAGGAGAAGTGTAACGATGTAAATTATAATAATTTTCTAAAGATATATCGAGAGGTTTCGTGGGACTCGCTGGCAGCCACGAGTATCAGTGAGTTGAAGTAGCTAACAAAATAAATTAAATTGCACATCATATATGACACGTATTGTACAACAAGGGATAATGTTTATTGTACAGTGAGACAGTGGTATCATCAGACCTGCATGGAATATGGTTACTATCAAACGACAAACTCAAATAAATCAATCTTTGGAAAGCTGTTTCCCCTAAATTATTTTATCAATTTGTGTACCGATTTGTATGGCGATTAGTAAGTACTTAAAAAATAGCGACTTAATATTTTCCTTGCTCAAGTGTCATTTATTTCCGTGTTCATAATTTGTATAAATATGCGTGATACAATATATCTTCATAATAGATTTCTTTAAATATCAAATAATTTATTATCGTACTTATGATTACTTAATTATAGTTAGTCGAATAAAATATTGAATTATTTTCAAAGTAAGACACGCTAAACTCAATTTTAGTTATAATAAAAAAATACTGGATTCACATGTGAGAAGGACGAATATAATGTACGGAGGAAAATTACCAGATTTACGAAATGTCATTTTCACGAATGGAAATAGCGATCCATGGCATCCGTTATCGGTGCTCCAAGATCTAAATGCCTTTTCACCCGCTATTGTCATTAATGGTAATTATGCATATTGAAAAACATATTAGAATTCTGCATTTTTTTTTTTAATATATAAGAAGATAATATAATAGTGGATTATTTTAAAGGATCTTCTCACTGTCGTGATATATATAGCGATGTAGCCACGGACCCGGACAATTTGAAAGCAGCCAGAGCAAAGATTCGTAAAATAATTGGCAAATGGATTTCCTCTTAAAAATTCCTGTTAAATATCTTACGAATATGCCAAAAATTACTAATGTTTTTCTGTTGTATTGTCTGTTGTTTTTGTGTTGTATTAATTGTAAAACCTTAATGAAAAGTTATGTACAATATCCGATATATAGTGCAATTCTAAATAATACACATCAGTTATATTATATTGCATATTATTATCTACATAATACAAAAATAAAATTACGTTCTCTTGATACCAAGACTAATCTAAAAATCTGTGCGATTTCCAAAATGAATCTATATCGTGATCCCGTGCTGCTTATCTCTAAGTAGAAAATGTATTTATAAGTAAAGAACATTTAAGATATTAATCGACTTCGAGCTTTCTAAAGGAGCCACTTATACCGCACATCGTGGTATCATTGGATCCCACGCTGGAACAGCCAAATCCTTGTTTCAATGCCGAGACTGCACCTTCTCGCGCTTTCTCTGAGTACAATTCAAGACAGACACTCATCTTATCGTTGTTCTGTAATGTTGGTTTTATTGCCAATAATTCTTTCCGCCATAGATCTGCATTGAAAAGAGGATTTAATTACTTTTATTACCTTTTCCTACGATGAAACAACACGATGTATAATCAAAGAGTACAATATGAAAATGAATTACCGATCATCTCTTTCATGGGGATAGTACCGCCATACTCCTTAGGCAGCATAGTGACATCAAGCTTGTGATTAATAGCGTCCTCGAGACTCGTATAAATCTTCACGCGATTTCTGATCTTTTCGGAAATCAATGACATCCCGAAATCCAACGCAAATTTTACTGAGGGATGTGAGTTGATTCCATAGACTTCTTTATGTCTCATCGGTACAGTGCGCTAAAAACGATTCGTTATTGTCATCGTTACCTATACTATTATTATTTTAGTATACATATACACATTACACAATTTCTTCTTCAAAATTATGATAATCGCGTAAACGAACAACAAAAGCAATTTTCTGCCTCAAAACGTAGAAAAAACAAAATATACTCTATCATTTCAGTTAGAATTTTAATTTATATATATTCATATATTTTGTTTAATATATTTATATAAATAGTTTAAAATCTGCATGCAAGCTACATACACATTCTCGACAAATATTTAATAGATAAAGAATCACATTTACATTAAATTTCTAGTTTATATAATTTTATCATTTCTAATTTTATGTGTAATTACTGTTATAAAACGTGAAATTTGAAATACGTAGAACAATGGAATATATTTATAAGAAAGAATAATGAAGTGGCGCGCATTTTTCGAATCGGTCATGATCAAATTTGTCTCTACGAAGCTAAAATTTCTATAATTTAGCAGCATTTACATTAATCGAAAACTATCTAAAAAATACATAGTTATTATAATTTCTTACGAAAAAAATCAAATGTTGCTTAAAAAGAAGCCATTTTTTTGTTCATTAAGGTCAATTATTTTGGAAACTTGGATGTGCTAAAGAAATTTGACTTTGTGATATCGTTTTTAACATTTAAATCTATGTACAATACCTTACCTAGTTCAAAGTAATATTTTTGCTGCAAACTAGTGAAAACGAATAAAATTTGATTTCATTTGTAAACTTGTTTTATATTTTTCTAGAAGTCTTTTTCTAGAAGATATTTCTTATCTGCTAGTATTGATCTGTTAGTATAGCAGAAAAAATGCTATTTCAATAATTTGTTAGTAGAAATCAATTTATATTCTTCATATATATATAACTCAACTCTTCATACTTAATAAATAAGCTTTATTCTATTCTCTTCTTAAATAGGCTCTTAAAAATCTTTTAACTAGCTTTTAAATCAATTTTATAAGACAAAAGATATAAAACAGGTTTTTATATCTTATGTTTCGAGAAACGTCATGAAATTTTGTTACGTAACATCATCTTTGATCCAAACTCACAGCTGAATCGATTATACCTCAATGAAGAAAACAAAACATTTTTGCAGAAATCAAACATAATAGTTTTATTGATTAAATAAGATATATATCAGAAATAAAAGAGACAAAATTATCTAACGTTATTTGTAAAAAAATATTATCCTAAGTAATTAAACAAAGCAAATAATGAAGAATTTTTTAGACAAGATTTAAAAATAAATTAAACTTTAAATGTCGCAGAAGATTGTTACGTAAATATTTAAACGTCTATATTTGACTTAAAAATGTTTAAGTAAATTTACAGTAATACTGCTCCATTAGAAAAAAAAACTTGCAAGTAAAAAAGAGAATTAGAAAATAATAAGCTTGGATTAAAAAATAACTCCCCATTATTAAATTTATTGTCTATTTGATTTCATCCATTAAGCTTATTTCAATTTAATATATTTACGATTACATATATTTTATCTCACCTCGCCGTTTTTTACGATGCGCACTGCTTCTTTGGGAGTAAACAGTGTCAAATGAGGGAAACTAACACCAGCACCATCGGTAAAATGAACATAGCCACGCACTTGACTCTCCTCATCTTCCATTAACGTTTCGTAAGTGATAGCATGGATCTTGCACATGTCCACGTTCGTGTATTTGTGAGGATCAAATACGCCTTGGAAATTACATATACGAACGATCAATAAATATGACAAAGAGAAACATAAAAAATTATTATGTATAGATTTTTATGCACTTTTAAACTGTTTTACAGTTTTTGTAAAATAATTACGTAATAATTAGTATTTTATTGAAATAAACAAATTAATGGGAGAAGTGCAAAATTCCGAATATTTTTAATATTTTATATCTGTTATTTTACTTTACGTATTAAGTTTATATAACAACATTTATGTAATAACATTCAAATGTTCTATACATATAAAGTACAATATAAAGTGGCAAACATATACCTGGTCTAGCGATTATAATACGACGACCTTTTGCGTCACGGCCGGGTACAGCAAAGAGATATCTAAAAGAAAAGATTGTAAAACGGCCCAGTAAATAAAAAAACTAGATTAACATTTTGAAATATTGGCTGCGTTCAGCAGAGAAAACTAATCAATTGGTGTTTAGTGAACGCCATTGATTTTATATGAATTTTTTATGAATGTTCTTATATAACATTTTATAAATATTTTTTAAATATTAAAAAAATGTTTTAATAATATTATTCCAAGTAAATAAATTATAATCTAATACAGCACAGAATGTCGAAACAACATCGAACTAAATTATATTTAAAAAATTCTTAGACTCCCTTAATTAAACTAATAAATTAAAAGTAAACATATATTTTGAGAATCACACGCAGTTGTTAGTGCACAAATTATCAAATATAGATAATTATTTAATTTCCATTTCTTTTATTTCATACGTTTTTGCTCCACTCCGGGCATTATCAGTAAATATCGTCAAATTTTTATCGTAAGAATATTTCTCTACTCCGTTCTAGCAGAACGCTGTTTTGAACACATCTGGTAATAAATAAATCTGGTAATAAAAAAGATAAATATGTTTTCTTTGAATTAAGTGTTCTATTCCTGGAGTCAGAAAGTGGAACAATTAATTTACATCTTCATAATTAACATAATTACATACAACAAGTAATAAATGTTGAACAGAGTATATTTAAATTAGCGCACGTTAACTAGCTAAGCTCCGATAGTCTCTCAGAATATATATTTGAATTGTTATCCACATATTAGAGCTTATATTAATACATTATTAAATTATTAAAAAATATAAAAAAGATAAATATGTTTTCTTTGAATTAAGTGTTCTATTCCTGGAGTCGGAAAGTGGAACAATTAAATAATTTACATCTTCATAATTAACATAATTACATACAACAAGTAATAAATGTTGAACAGAGTATATTTAAATTAGCGCACGTTAACTAGCTAAGCTCCGATAGTCTCTCAGAATATATATTTGAATTGTTATCATTTCAGTAACATTGTTGAAATTTTGTTTATTAGAGAGTTCTATGATTAATGAGATAATATCATAAAATAATAGCATACCCCAGCGATAGTAATTCCTCCATATTTGGTTCTGTGATATCCAATTTATGGAATGCTTGTTGATACACCTGACGAAGCAGCAGGTATCTTTCAATAGCCTCCTGAGCCATCGGAACATTAAATTTCTTGCATCGCAAGAATCTTAGTAAAAATTGTGCATCTAATAAAAGATGACAAATTAGCCACACGTTTTATAACTATTGATACATATCATGTGCAATTGCAGGTTCGAGAGTGCTTGTTAAAATATAAAATTGTAATAAATTATAAAATTAGCCCTGTAGACTTACAAAATCGTGGAGCGATTATGACCACTTACGGACTTATGCAATTAGTTATTATCCATGTAATCATATTTTTAATTGGATATTAGTTGGATATTTAATTGGATTTTTAGTTAAATTACTGTGTTTTTTACAAGTTCTTTTTCCGTAAATTGACAAGGATAATTTATCTTTACGTTAATATTCGCGTTGATTGCCATTTGATGATGTAGCCTCACCGAGACGACAATTTTGAATGCGCGGATTCATCTTGATCCAATTGCGCATCTGCTCGAGAGCCTGATCTCTGGTGTTTTTATCCTCTCTGAGCTCCTCTTTCGCTATCTTCTGAGTTTCCATTGAGAGAGGGCACTCATAATTGTCCTCATCGGCTGCTCCCATCTTGCTTTTGTTCGAAAGACGTTAGTGATTTATTTAAACTTAGAGACACCTGAAAATATTGTTGACATTTTTATATATTCATAACAAATTTTAAGACTGTGATTTTTAGGTTTTACTTCTTTCACCGTCGTATTTGTTTCGCAGTTCAAAAAGATAAAATAAATAACGTGAGAAAAATAAAAAAGATATCTGTTTAATTAAAAATATTATATATAAAATTTTTGCTGGTTATGTTTGTCATGTGCAAATTATATTTCTCAATAAAATACACGATTCCTCTTTCGGAATTTCGCGTTAAGCATGTTATTACATATTTAGCGAGAGTTATTTATTCTTATTTATTATCTTCCTGTAATAATTTCCAATTTAATTATGCAGCG